CGTGGTAGGACTATAGGAATGCCGGAACGGTCGGTCCCTGCTCAGTTCACGTGTTCCTGCCGACGCCTGCCGCCCCACCCCGTCGCTTGCTCGAAGAGCAAGGCCCTGCACAAAGATAAGCCTCGGAGCTTCGGCGGCGCCTCTGGCGCCGATCGGAGGGCCCAGCGCAGATCCCAGAGTCCCGCGCCGACCTACCAATGTGCATGCTTATGTAAGTTTCAGGAGCGGAAAAGAGGGGGGTGATGACTAGGGGGGGGGGGGGGAGATCGCGGCGGGGGCCATGCTGTTTCCCCAGATTTCATGGCGCCTCTTCTTATTTCATTACGTCCCTGGCCCCCCCGCTGGGCCGCGCACATGCCGCCGGTCATGATTTGCACCCCCCCTTTCGGACGCCCCCCTCTGGGCCGCTCCCGAAAGCTCTCCCTCGGGCACAGCCCCCTCCCCCCGCCGTCTCGGAGGCCCCTCCCCCCACGATGCACTCTGGGAAGCCCACCCTCCTCCTCTTCCCTTGGCATCGCTTGGACGTGTGCATTTTCTCTCGGCGAGAAACCACGAGGACCAACCTGGACCATCGAGGAACAACAAACACGCACGAAATCGACAAATGCAGGGGAAATGGACGTCCGAGCGACGGCAAGTTCCTCCTCCTCTTTTTTTTTGGGGGGGGCACGCCTGTGGGGGCACACAAGGCGGGGGGAGGGTCAGCGTGGCGGCACCAGCACGAGGCAGCCGCAGACAAGGATTGGCAAGGCAGCGAGCAGCGGCCGCTCAATCGGCCCGTGAACCTGTCGTCCAACATCGGGAACTGCAACGCATACACTACCATTGGCGGGCTGCCTTTCAATCCCAGGACTTTTTCGAGGGTCGGTGACGACGTCGGGGTGGTGTGGCGACTACTTTTTCCCCGTTGTCCCCGGGAAACGGCGACAAATGTGTACACCAGGACTCCGTGTACACCATGATCCGCTTTTCTGTGCAAATTTCAGTGCAGAGCCGCAAAAAGCGTCGGTGTATAGAGGTCGGTTCCCTACATAACCAGGGCGGAGTGGCCAGGATCCTCGTGGCAAAAGTGTCGTCGGGAGCGGGCAGACCCACCTCCGCCCACCTCCACCTCCCCACCACCAGTCTCTACGAGCATCGAGGCCTAGGAGGCCAGCCGGTGTAGCTGCGGGCGCTTTTCCCAGAGGAGCAAGGGGTCATGGTAGACAGACCCCTTCGAGTCGTGACAAGGAAACGCGACAGAAGGTTTTTCGCTATTTTCTGCTTCTGCGGGGCCTTACTGGGCCTCGGGACCGCCAAAAAGCGACTCGGAATGAAAAATGGGTCCTTGGGAATGGGTCCAGACCGTTGGGGGTCAAGGTCATGAACAAATTATGAGGTGGGGGATCTGGGTCCCCAAGATTCCCAAGGACTCCAGGATGTGACAATGTGCAAAATTTCCTCAAATCCCACACGGGCTACAGAAACAAGGGCCGCTGGACACGCCTGAAGTCCTGGCAGGTTCAGTGGAGACCCACGCCAAGGAACACCCTGCTTGCCTCCAGGGAGGGTGCCCTGGGTTTCTCTTGGGCCTCGATGCCTTTGCCATGGAAAGAGTGACCCTGGGGTCTCAGGGTGGGATTTCCTTAGGGGAATTAAAAGTGACATAAACATAACAACTCGGAGGTCCGCGCGGATTTCTCGGATCGGCGCTGGACCCCTCTCCTTGGCGCGAGGAGCGCGCCAGAGGCGGCGCCGGAGGCGCCGCCGGGGGCCCCAGCGCCGATCCGAGAAATCCGCGCGGACCCCCGAGTTTTTGTGTTTCTCCCACTTTTTGTTCCCCTATTCTCGTGGACTGGCCTCCACTGCATCCTGGGCCCACTGCATCGTGACGCCATCCTCGCTCTATATTGCTAAGGCCTTACGGCCAGTGCCGCCGACCCTGGATACCTCGGCCCTCGAGGGTGACGGGATGCGCGATAAGACGTCGGAGGCAAATGAAGACGTGGCGGAGGAGGAGGCGGAGGAGGAGGAGGAAGAAGGGGAGCAGGTGGAGGAGGAGAAAGAAGGGGAGGAGGTGGAGGAGGAGAAAGAAGGGGAGGAGGAGGAGGAGGAGGAGGAGGAGGACATCCTCGCTCTGGATTCTCCCCAGCGCCCACGCCGGGGAGGGGCCGTCGCAGGCGGCAGGCTGGCCGCACCCGCGCGGCGGACCGGCCCCGCTGGACGCCCGGCCCCCTCCCCGCGAGAGCTAGGTCGAGCCTGCCCCTCTACAGGAGGGATGTTCAAAACCTACGCTTAGAAAGCCCAGGGTTCGCTAGGGACTGGTTTCCCCCCAAGCGGCGGAAACCCTTCCAAAACCCTCCCGAAGCCCGTCGAAAGGCCTCCAGGAACCCTTCCAGGAGGGTTTTCGGATGTTTCGGGAGGGTTTCGGCTGTTTTGGAAGGAAACCAGTCCTTAGCGAACCTGGACTTTCTAAAACTAGCCCAGAAATAGTCCAGAAACGGTACAGAAATGCTCCAGACAACTAGCCAAGGAATGTTCAAAAACATAGTCCAGGAATAGTCCAGGGCCGAACTTCCGAGCATGTTTTGGCCATTTTGCGCGTAGGTTTAGAAAGCCCAGGTTCGCTAAGGACTGGCTTCCTTCCAAAACAGCCGAAACCCTCCCGAAACATCCGAAAACCCTCCTGGAAGGGTTCCTGGAGGCCTTTCGACGGGCTTCGGGAGGGTTTCGGAAGGGTTTCCGCCGCCTGGGGGGGAAACCAGTCCCCAGCGAACCCTGGGCTTTCCAAGCGTAGGTTTTGGCTAGGCTTACTTTTTCGCCCACAGCCCCCAAGAGGTCCGGGCGCGCTCCATCTTCCTGCGCCAGGGCACCGACGAGGACCGCCGGCTCCCCTCCCACCAGTACAGCGTGCTCCGGCGCGGGCCGTGGCTCCTCTTCGTGCTGTGGCAGATGGGCCCGCGCTCCCGCGCGGCGGAGGAGCCCCCCCCCCTTCGTTCTTGCTCGGCCTCTGGCACGACTGGGAGGGGTACACACTGTTCACTGCTCAGTCTTCGAAGGTTCCTTGATTTGTTTTGGGGGGCCAGGGTCCTGTCGTTTCTAAGCGTTCCATCCGGGGCCTCTTCCTGGCCACCAGGGAGCCAGGAACAATCAGGAACGCGCACAATGAGAAATGAGCACGACTGGGATTAAGTCGGGCCTGTCCCCCTACAGGCGTATCTTGGGCGATGAAAATGCAAGTGCGCAAAACATGCCCCCCCAGGTGCCCAAAAATAGTCAAAACATCGCCCCTGGATGATTTTAAACTCTTTTTGCACATCCCTCCCCCAGAGGGACAGGCCCGACGTAAGGCTAGCAATGAAGGGCGCGTGGGCACGGAGCGAGGGAGGACGAAGGCCAGCGGCAGCTCTGGCCCACGGCAGGCGGAAGTCGCAGCCGGCCTCTCCGCGGAGGGCGTCCGTGCAGGCACAGTCGAGCGGAATTCTCGGGCTGGACGAAAGGGGGGGATTGGGAAAGGGGGGGGTTGGGAACCCAGACCCCCTCGAGTCATAATAAAAAACACGACGGGAGGTTTCTGGCCCTCGGGACCGTCAAGAAACGATTCTGGACGAAAAACCGGCCCCGGGGAATGAGTCCAGACCTCTGGGGGTCGACGTCATGAAAAAAATCATGACGTCGGGGGTCTGGGAAAGGGGGGGGTACGAAATTTGCTGCATGCAGCTGGTTTCGGCCCCACCGAGGAGCCCATGCCTGGATACAGCCGCCTCCTTCGCCCGGAGGCGCCGGGAAAATCAGCTTCGTGAGCTGATTCTCCCCCCCCCCTCTGCTATCCCCCCTTTTCGCCCGACCCGAAATTCGCAGCCGGCGTCTCCGCGGAAGGTGTCCGTTCGGACATGCACGCCGGTCGTTGGAAGTAGGTATTTTCGGATCCCCAGATCCCAATTTGCTTCACGCGCCTTCCTACTTCAAGAATCGGCATGCTTTTGCTACGTTTTGCTGTTCTCTGGGAGGGCCTGGACCCAATCCACTATATCCGCCTTCCTGTTGCATGTTTCTACCTACTTCTTCCGACCGACGTGTAGTGGTGTTTGCCCAGCACGGTGCCCCACAGCGGTCTCGGTCGGCCAGGTTTCCCGTACCCGTCTCGGGCGTGCCATGTCTCTTGCTCTCAGGGGAGCAGGATGTTGTGATGCGTTCGAGGCTTTCGCAGATGTTGATTTCTTCCGCGCGGGCTGCAGCAGCAAGGGCCGCCAGGGCCTCCGAAGCTCCCAGGACATATGGCCCGAGTCGATCGCATCATGGCACGCCGCTTCTCGTCCGATGCTCCGCCGCTCCGCTAGTCTCATCGCTCCCCCTCCCCGTCGCCCGCCTCCCCCATCTTCACGCTCCTTCCGCCCTGTGATCCTCCCCTCGTCCAGAGCCCTGCGCAGGGATGAACGAGCCTCCGGCGGGCAGCGGCAAGCATCTGCGGACACGGAGAGGTCCACGTTTCAGTGGTTCGGCTTGTGCTTTGCAGATCTGTTGCTTTCAGCGAAACCGACTCCGAATCCCCCTCCTTCCCTCTCTCTTCTCTCTCTATATATATACTACCCTCCCTCATCTTCTCCTCGTCCTCCTCGTCCTCGTCTGCCCCTTTTTTTCCCAACTGGTCCTCTTCCTGGCACGCCGCTCTTCGCTCTTCCCTGGTCTCTCGCTCTCCTTGCCCGCTCTCACGTCCCCGTCGTCGTAATCGTCGTGTTCGTCCTGCTGCTGCTGCGTCATCTGGAACGGCGCTCTTTCCCACTCTTGTGCCCGCCGCGCCCTCTTCCGCGTCCTCGTCCTCCTCCTCCTCCTCCTCCTCATCCTCCGCCTCCTCCTCCTCCCTCCTCCTCCTCCTCCTCCTCCTCCTCCTCCTCCTCCTCCTCCTCTCCATCCTCCTGCTCCTCCTCCTCCTCTCCATCCTCCTCTCCATCCTCCTGCTCCATCCTCCTCCTCCTCTCCAGCCTCCCTCGTCCTCGCAGCACGCCGCTCACTTCGCGGGCCGCCCGTGCCAGCACTCCACCGTGGGCGGACGCCACAGGGGTCATCCGTTCCGGGGGCACCGGGCACCGTCAGAGATGCTCCTGCTCCTGCTCCTGCTCCTGCTCCTCCTCCTCCTCCTTCTCCTCCTCCTTCTCCTCCTCCTCCTGCTGCGGGGTGCCGAGGCCGAAGTGCGCCGCTCAGGATGGCACGAAGGACCAGCGCGCTGGAAAGTGATACGTCGGAGTGAGAGGGCCGAGCGGTCTTACAGTCGGGGCGCTGAAGAAGGAATCCTTTTCGTTGGGGAGGGGCTCGGTGTTCCTCGATTGTTTTACAGCTTGCCACAGGTTTTCCTGAGGTTTTCCATGGGAAATAGAAGTAGAACTTATGGAAAAAAGGGGCTTCGTTCCTTACTTAGGGTTCCTCAGGTCAACGCCCCGACTGTACACCATCCCTGGATATGTGGCTGAAGTGTGATTCCGCGGCGCGGGATCTGCTTGTGGCGCTGCGTGGCGTTATGGTCGTCGCCCTCGCCCAGGACCCACCCGCGCCCGCTCTATCCGATCCGCAGCCGCGGGGGACTCGGTGATGCGATATCCGAGGATGTCCCTGACCAGGGTTGACTGGAGGGGCTTGCCGGGAGGGTTTGCTGCAGGAGTGGTCGGTCGGGGCTGGTTGGAGGGCGCTTTCCTGTATAGGCTCAGGCAAACCTGCTTGCGTGGCATTCCCCCCGTCCCCTCGCCGCCTTGTCAGACAGCAGCGCTGGGCTGAAAAAGCGGCCAAGTGAGTCCCACCTTGCGTGAAGTCCAGATGCCATTTCGGGCCTGCGCCGCGCCCCGCCTCCCTCCTTAAACGTAAGCACCCCCCCACTCTACTCTACAACTGGGCCTCCTTACTCCTCCTTACTCCGCCTTACTACCCCTACTCCTCCTACGCCTCCTCTCCCCTCCTCTCCCTCCCGATCCCTTACTCCCACTCCTCACCAAGCTCCTCCCATCTCCTCACTCCTCCTTACTCCTCCTCTCCCCTCCGCTCCCTCCCCCATCCCCCCTTGTAAACGTAAACACGCTTGCCAGAGTCTGCAGAAGCTTGTCTCCTGCAGGGCTTGCCCAGGCAGCTTCTAGATAAGAGCCAGCCCCCCGAGGGGGCCGACCGACAACTGCAGAACCAGCCCCGTCCCGACTCGCCCGGGCCGCTGGGTCCCAGGGCCCTCGATCCCCCCGCTCAGGACGCCGCCTCTCCGATGTCATCCGGCGGCGACCTGGGCACCGAGCTGTGCCTTGGGCTGCTGGGCGCCCCCCCCGCCCCCCCCCCCTCCCCGACGCCGCGCCCGCCGGCCGCAGTCGGTACAGGAGAGCTCGCCGTGCGACCCGGGCCTTGCCTGGCCTGGGCTCGGCTGGCTCGAGGGGGTCTCGCCGTCAGGGGGGAGCGAGGAGTGGTGGCACCACCCAGACGTTGATGAATTGTGCGTGTGCGCGTCGGCCCCCACCAGGCGACGCGAGCGCTCGGACATCTTGCTGTGCACAGTCGGCGGCGGGTGCTTTTCGGCTGTACCGCCTGGGCGACGAGATATCATAATATATAGATACGGATATATATATATATAGATGCATGTATACATTTTTTATATATGTATAGATCGATATACATATATATATATATATACACATACATACGTAGATATAGACATATACATACATACATGTAAACTGTATGTTCGGTTCGGACGCGCGCCTCCAAGAACGGCGCACAGTAGTACTACGGTGGGGGCGTTGGTTCCGGAATGCGCCCAGGAGGCTGCAGACCCTGGGGGATTATTTACCCGAGGAGGAGGGCGGCGGTGATATCCATGGCCGTTACACGATCGGAGTTCCACTCGCTTCCAGAGCCTTTATTCCTTATCTAAGGGCGCCTTATCCAATGTATACTGTATGTTCGGTTCGGACGCGCGCCTCCAAGAAGGGCGCATAGTAGTACTAGAACCCTCGTCACAATTAACCTCAAACATTTCTTACGTGGCTGGACTGTCTGTGTGGAGATACTGGACAGAGTAGCGATGACTGCGAGGTACTTGTATGCGCCGCCCCTCCAGTGTCGTTCATCATCGAACTTCCGAGTCGTTCCCGGTCAGACCCTTTTTGCCCTGGCCCCGACATTGGAGGGGCGTCGATCGACATTGGAGGGCGCGCCGACATGGCAGGGGCGTGGTCGCCATGTTTAAGGTTATGTTTGACGACGGAAGTAGTACTCCAGATTTCGTAATAAAGGGAGGGGGGTCTCATTTCAGGGGGGGGGTCTCTTCCAGGCTATCTTGGAGGGCCTGGGGGGGTCTGGGGACGATGTTTTGGAGGGTTCTCCCACGGGGGAGGTCTGGAATGGCTTGTCTTGGAGGGTCCAGACCCCCTCCCTTTTATTACGAAATCTGTAAAACTCATGTCCCTCTGCTCTGCGTCCCAAAGTCGGCACCTCTTCCTCGGCGGAAAGAGTCGGCGGGAGGCGGGGGACGGGGAACGGGGGCGGCTCCGCCAGCGGAAGGCCGGCGGAAGGCGGCGAGGGCAAACACCGACCTTCCAAGGGAAGACGCCTCCTCCTCCTCCTCCGCCTCCTCCTCCTCCCCCTCCTCCTCCTCCTGCCCCCCCCCTCCTCCTCCTCCTCCTCCTCCTCCTCCTCCTCCTCCTCATCATCATCATCATCATCATCATCATATCATCCTCATCATCCTCATCATCCTCATCATCCTCATCCTCATCTTCATCCTCATCCTCATCTTCCTCCTCCTCCTCCTCCTGCCCCCCCCCTCCTCCTCCTCCTCCTCCTCCTCCTCCTCCTCCTCCTCCTCCTCCTCCTCTCCTCCTCCTCCTCCTCTTCCTCCTTCTCCTCATCCTCCTTCTCCTCCTCCTCTTCGTCTGAACCTCCATTTGGAGCCCCAATCGTGAGGAGGAGGAGGAGGAGGAGGAGGGAGGAGGGGGGAGGAGGAGGAG